CTGAGTTGTTCATTTCCAACTTCATTCCTTTATGGTCTGAGAAGCTGCATGGTATGATTCTAATTCTTTTGAATTTGCTGAGACTTGATTTATGGCCTAATATGTGGTCAATCCTAGAGAAGGTTCCATGTACTGCTGAGAAGAATGTAAAATCTTTAGCTGTAGGATTGAAAGTTCTGTATATATCTGTTAGATCCATTTGGGCTATAGTGTCATTTAAATCTACTGTATCCTTGTTGATCTTCTGTCCTATTGATCTGTCTATTTCTGAGAGTGGAGTATTGAAGTCCCCCAGTACTATTGTATTGGGGTCTAAGTCTCCCTTTAAGTCTGTTAACAAATCTTTTAGATAAACCGGTGCCCTGTAGTTATGTGCATATACATTGATAATTGTTATATCTTCCTGTTGAATTGATCCCTTAATCATTATGTAGTGTCCCTCTTTGTCTCTCTTAACAGTTTTTGTGGTAAAGTTTATGTTGTCTGATATTAAGATTGCTACGCCCACTCTTTTTTCATTTCTGTTGGCATGGTATATCTTTTTCCAGCCTTTCACTTTCAGTCTGTATGGATCTTTGTTGGAAAGATGAGTTTCTTGTAAGCAGCAAATAGATGGGTTTTGTTCCTTAACCCAATCAGCCAATCGGTGTCTTTTAACTGGACAGTTCAGGCCATTCACGTTCAATGTGACTAATGATAAGTGGTAACTTTGCCCTGCCATTTGCCAAAGATAAGTTCTAATATATGCTTTGAATTCCCTGTGATCTTTTGCTGTGAGGTTTCCTTCCTTGGTTTCCTTCCTTTACCTTCTTTCATATTGATGACCGTGTTTCTGTGTTTCTGTGTGTAACACATCTTTAAGCATCTTTTGCAGGGCTGGACGAGTGGCAACAAATTCTTTCAATTTCTGTTTGCTATGAAAAGTCTTTATTTCACCTTCATTCACAAATGATAGCTTTGCAGGATATAATATTCTGGGCTGGCAGTTTTTCTCTCTTAGTACCTGGGCTATATCTCGCCATTCCCTCCTAGCTTGTAGAGTTTCTGATGAGAAGTCAGCTGTGAGTCTGATTGGAGATCCTCTGAGAGTAATCTGACGTTTCTCTCTTGCACATTTTAGGATCTTTTCTTTATGTTTCACTGTGGAGAGTTTAATTACAACGTGTCGTGGTGAGGATCTCTTTTGGTCATGTTTATTAGGGGTTCTGTGAGCTTCCTGTACTAGGATTTCTCTGTCCTTCTCCAAACCTGGGAAATTTTCTGCTAATATCTCACTAAAAAGGCCTTCTAATCCTTTCTCCCTCTCCATGCCTTCAGGAACTCCTAGAACCCGAATGTTGGTTTTTTTAATAGTATCCTGAAGATTCCCGACAATATGTTTTAGATTTCTAATTTCCTCTTCTTTTCTTTGGTCTGACTGTATCCTTTCCTGTTCTCTGTCTTCTAAGTCCGATATTCTCTCTTCTGCTTCACCCATTCTGTTTGTAAGGCTCTCTATTGTGTTTTTCATTTGATCTATTGAATTCTTCACTTCAGTCACTATCACAATTTCCTGTTGTACTAGTTGTTTCGTTTCATTTTGATTCCTCCTTAATATTTCATTTTTATGAGAGAGATTTTCTATCTTGTCCATTAAGGATTTCTGTAGTTCAAGAATTTGTTTTTGAGAACTTCTTAATGTTCTTATCAATTTTTTGAGATCTGCTTCTTGCATTTCTTCTATGTCATCATCTTCATAATCTTGAATTGGGGTGTCTTTTTCATTTGAGGGCGTCATGGTGTCAAGTCACTATATTCTGAAATCAAACGTGTTTGAGAAGACTCGCAAACATATCTCATTGGTCAGATATATCTGAGAAATATTGGATTAAAAAAGTTTAATGAAACCACCCAGCATATGTTTCTTGAGCTTTTACCACATGCTAGACACCCTTTTTTCTGGACGCGGGACTCTTCCAAGCCTCTCCTAAAATGCTGATGCTGATGGGAGTGTTCCACCCAATGGGAACCTTCTCATCATCTGAATAGGCTGGTGTAAACTGGGTTATGCTGCCATCACAAACAACCCCCAAATTCAGTGCCTAAAACAGGAAGCTTGTTTCTTGTCCAGGCTACCTACACATTCTTTGTTAACAGAGGGCCTTCCTTATCCTTCCTTATTACAGTTCCAAAGGGGCCAGGCTGGCAGACCAACAAACATTTTGAACCTTACTAGTTTCTTCCTCCCCTTCCTTTTTTTTTTTTTTTTTTAGCAACCACTTATGAGATATAATGTTGCTAGGTTTTGGTTGTTTTGTGTTTTGGTTGTTGTTTGGCTACAGAGAAAGAGAGTTCTGGTGAGTTTTGCCCTAGCATTTCAGTACTCCAGCCCAGGAGTGATGCTTACCACTTCTGCTCACACTTCACTGACTAGAGCTAGTTACGTGACTTCTGCCAACCCCAGAAATATTTAAGAAGTTCAGTCTTACTATGTACTCAGAAGTTGAAGAGCTAGAAATAATTGGTATCAGCATTAGTGACTATTGAGCATGAGTTCACTACTCAAAATTGTTCATAGGAACTCTTCTGCCAGAAGCATTTGCAATACTGTGTTTCATAAGGGCTACCTTGGGGAACACTGGGTTCTAGTCTAGCAAACAATAAGGCCCAGTAGAAACCGACAGTAGATCACCTCTCTTCACTTCAATGTGGAGCTTTTCATCCTCCTCCTTTGGCCAATTAAGTTAGTTATAATCCCTTGTGCGACCATCCAACACCTGTTCTTTTATGCTCTGCGAGACTTTTGTGAATGTGTGCGAAACGTCTTGCTGAAAGCAGAAGCTCTTTGGCTGGTGGCCTCCTTTTGCATTGTAGGCTAGTTACCTGAAGCAAAGTGAATTTGTTTAGACTCTTCAGTCCATGAATTGAACCCATGGATAGTGGAATCTATTTCAATGAAAGTACAAAAGGAAGAAATCCTACATAAATTTCGGATACCTAAGTAATAAGTCTGAGTTCTAAGTATAAATGGAAAACACAAAGATGTAAAGCTACTTTACATGCGTGTTATACTCACCCGTGTAAGTAACCAGGCCTAACTGGATGTGGATTATACGGTTGAGGCCATCTAGGGGCAAAGCAACAGCATCAGGAAAGACTGAGGGTGAGAGCAGACCCACCTTCCATGTAAGATGGCAACTCCTTAGGCTGCGTGTGCTAATACGGAAACACAGTCACTGCTGCAAATCAGAAAGCAGTTGTCAAGCAGTGAAGCTTGGGTAGCTGTCTGTGCATCTTGCCGCTAATTAATGTTGAAGTGAGTTTTGGCTAGCAGAGGCCAGAGGGTGCGTTGGTCCCTGCAAAGTAGGTGTGGTAATGATTGCGGTCTGGGGACAAGGAGACAGTCCTGCACCAGGCTTGTGGAGACAATCTGCCCAGGAGAAGGGATCGTCCTCCTTACAAAGACGAGCCAGCAAGCCCATTGGCAGATGAGTATTGGCTTACACCCTGGCCTGTTCTAAAGATGTCTTGGGTATCTGTAAATCCCAAGCCATGGGCCTTTAAAGACAAGTAAAGAAAGACTCAGAAAGGAGATGTGTTGTGCTTCCTAATCCAGAGTAGAAGACACACTCCACTCTTACTTCTCTAAGTCTTAGCAAATGAAACTGAAAAGATTATTTCCAAAAACCATCACTCACTGTTTAGCTTTTGTGACTGCAGAGAATGTTGCATGTTCTGAAAGCTCCAATATTTTAGGATTTCAGGTTTGGTTGTTTGGGTTTTGGTGCTGCTGCTGGTAGGATAAGATGGGTGGCGTGAAGAGTAGGAACTGCTTTTAGAAAAGCAGTATGGAGAGGAGGCACTGGGAGTGAGGAGGCCGCATCAGGGTCCCCTCTGTTCCTGGTTGTCAGGTGGCTTCTTGGCAAGTGGTGTCCCCTCTCTGGGCCACAACATTCTCTTCTGTTAAACAAACAAACAAACACAGAGCCTAGAGCCTGCCATGACAGCTCATTTGTTTAGTGCTTGTTTTTTTTTTTCTTTCTTAAATATCTGTTTAGTACTTTTTCTGTTTAAAGAACCCTTCCGCCTTCTACATTATTAGCTAAAAACGTTTGAACCATCTGAGAGAAAGAAACAAACCAAGAGGTGAAGTCGGAAGATCTGGATTTGCACACCCTCAGCCACCTGAAGCTGTTGCCCTACTGCGTGCCACAGCGGTCCAAAGACACAGGCCCAGGTTACAGTATTGTGTAAGGACATTTAGCCATGGCTGGGTCATCAGCATCATCAGCACTAAGGAACCATGGAAAGGGGAATCACCCCATAGGATGTAGTTTCCCTTTCCCAGAAGGTAGAGTTTCCACTTTGGGATCCATTGTTTTCTGCCACCTGTCCTGTGGAGGTCACATTTAAGGCCCTGCCTGCCATCTCCTTGCTTCCAGCACAGGTGCAGGTGCAGGTGCAGGTGCTGGTGCCCATGGTCCCGGACCCTGCAGGTGTTCGTAGTGACACCAGGCCTGTGTGCCTGCGCCACACTCCTCAGTGGGATGTGAATTGTTTTTCTTTTTGAAATAGGCTAATCTGAAAGAATTCTCCTTTGCTGTTTGCCATGGTGGAATGATGGCATCAGAAATCCTTGGAAATACAAGACGACGTGTATGGTTCACTGGGGCCTTCCTTCCAAACAGAGGCAACTGCAGATATTTTGCTCCAGAGGCCTAAAAAACATGGATGCTCAGATGCACAGTCCTTTTTTAGTGTTTGCATTTGGGGTTCTTGGAGGAGGTTTATTATTGGTGCCATTGGCCATGGCAGGCAGTCGCATTCATGTTTGATTTTCTAGGTTCTGAGTTCCACAATCCAAGCCTCGTAAGTGATACCAATTTTATTTTATTTTAGTTGTTTTAAAGATTGGTTTATTTATTTGAAAGGCAGAGTGACAGGGAGGGAGAAGGATGAGGGTAGAGGGAGGGAGAGGGAGGGAGGGACAGAGAGAGAGAGAGAGAGAGAGAGAGAGATCTTCCATCTTATGGTTCACTCCCCAAATGGCTACAGCCAACACATATGGGCCAAGCAGAAGCCAGGAACCAGGAACTCCATCCTGGTCTCCCACATGGGTAGCAGGGGCCCACGTACCTGGACCATCATCCACTGTCTTACCAGGTGCATTAGTAGGAAGCTGGATCAGAAGCAGAGTAGCTGGGTTTTGAACTGGCTCTTCAATATGGAGTGCCACAATTCCTGCCCCCAATTTTTAAACAAAATACCTGCCTTCCACATCTTCACTTCAACATCCCTTCATCAGCAACTATGGCAGGTTTGCTGCAGCATTTGATGGCTTGTCGTTATTTAATTCATCATTTAAGTTTGCTTTGCCCCTGACCCCAGCAGTCTCTTCCCCATCAGCCCAGGCTTGACTGCCGGATGTTTCATTTTGCAGGAGCAGATAATCTACGGATAAAGGTCACCCCCACCCCAGAGTCATTTCCACACGGAAAATGGTTACCGATTTCACCCACATGGCCTTTCTCAGAAGCCGAGTCTTCTCCAGCAGTGGACAGAATGAAGAACGTGCAGGGCCCGTCCCCTCACAACACGAGCCTGCTGCAGCCGGCCTGGACACCTGCGCCCAGGCCGCCCCGCAGAACCAGGGCTCACGTGGACTTCTCCTCTTCCCTTTACCAAGGAAGTGGACATAGCGCCTCCCTTGAACCTTCAAAGGATTCCACTGAGTCTCTGGTGCAACCGAGGCCTCGAGGGGGAAGAGAAGCGGCTGACGTGTCAGGTTTGCCTCGCACCAGCATGCCCCCCACATTGTCCAGGGTCCTGCTGGTGGCCTCGAGTACCAGCCTCCCGACCCGGCCAGCATGGGCGGGGACTCCCTCCCTTTCTGCTCATCCCCTGAGGGCAGACGTTCACTCACCTCCCCCTCCCCCTTCATCATCCCCATTGGACCCCGACTCACCTCCTCCCATCTCCTTTTCTAAGCAACCTGAAGAGCAGTCCACCCAAATGCCGCCGTTCCCCCGAACAGCTCCTGCCGACTCCCCTGTAAGTCAGAGCGTAGCTAATCCCCTAAACCTGTTTTCTGATGAGGTGAACCAGAATCCATCCCCAAAGACCCAGGATTTCAAAGGCATCCCTCATGTAGGCTCTTCTGGATTTTCAACAAAAGAGTATTTGGAGCTGTCCCCAGCAGAGGGCCCCCCCTCTGCAGGCTCTCCCATACCCCTGGCACCTGAAAGTCCTCCTCGGCTTTCACATGGAACCCCCTCCAGGTCTGTGTGGGAAGTGGCTCCAAGTCCTGTGTCCACCCAGCCCATCAGTGCCGAGGTGGCCGAGGTGGCCGAGAGAGGGCACCACGGGGTGCCTTTGCCAACACTCAAGAACACAGCAGCAGCAACCCGTGAGGCTGAGCCTTCATTTTTCCAGACTGCAGAAGCAGTGGCCGTTGACATGACTGGCAGCAGAGAGCTGGCCCCTGCAAGTGCAGAGGAGGGCTCTGCTAACCTGCCGAGGCTGTCGGCAACTCCAGAGAGATCTCTCACGTCTTCCTCTCCAGTGCCTTCTGTGCCTTTCACCCCACCGGGGCAAGGGCGAGCTGCCCTTTCTGGGGCAGTTTCGGCATCGAGTGGGACCAAGCATCGTGCCCCTCCACCTCCTGTGCCTGAGATGCCCACTCCTCAAGAGGACAAGGATGGATCCCCTTCTGCCGTGGCCACAGACGTCCTCCGCTCCAGCCGGCTTCCTAATCGGCTCTCCGGGACTTGGGCTGTTCCCCTGCAGAAGCAGCACAGCATGGCAGGCCTGTTCAGGGAGAGCAAACAGACAAGCGTGACGCTTCCTTTCCAGGCCCTTCCAAGTACAGAGGTTCCGAGTCTCCTCGCCATAACTGGATTCACCTCCGACTTCAACCCTGATCGGATTTCGTCTCCCGTCCTGACCACACCAAGAGCAAGCCTCTTTCCTTCAGCATCACCTCCAGCTTCCACACACTCCACGCACACCTACCAGCCAGAGGCCTCGTCGCCTGGCTTTCCCCATGCCCAGCCGGAGACTTATGCACCTGCTGTGGCCCATTCTGAGTTGCCAGCTTCAGCTCCCAAGCAGGTGACAGCATTTTCCTCCTCCACCGACACCTATGGTTTTTCAACAATGGGAGACCGGGAAAAGCCAGCAGTCACAGATGTCTTGTGGAATCCTCTTTCAGCAGGAACCGGATCCCTTTCCAAAGCACCAGAGTTGCCTGGCTTGCACCAGCAAACAAATTATGATTTAAGTGGACACACAATTAACTCTCCAAGTTGGGAAAGTCATCCTGTTTCAACTAATTCTCCCAGCGGTTCCACCATAGCTATCACTGCAAGAAGATTTCAGCATTTCAAAGATATTGCTGGGCATTGGGTGACCACAGAAGGCCCTACCATTCTGGACCTAGTCTTTGGTTCCAGTCTCAACCAGCTCAAGTCAGATGTGACCATGGTTGGAAGCAATACAGATATCTGGCCCACAAACAGTAACAGCCATTCTAGAAACTTCCAAGTAGCTGAGATTGAGTATTACCCAGTCTCATGGCAACAATCCGGGTCTCATTCCCGTCTACAGCTGCCTGCCCAGCCAACACATTCCTTTTTTCAGCCCTCTCCAAGTCTGACTTCAACAGCCACCTTGCAGGAAATATTTTCAGATGGGACAGATACAGGTTCCCAGATTCCCATCTCTCCGTCACCTGTGATAAATGCTTCCACATCATCATTCCAGAGTGTCCTGAGATATCACTCAGCAGCTGACTCTCCTCCTCTGTCGACCAGTGCCTTTTCCAGGACCCCCTTCAAAGTGCCACGGGCTTCTCAGCACCCCAAGAAATGGACAGGTGATCCACTAATGCAGGTAGTCTGTTTCCTGGTGCCCGCAAAACGGTTGTGACAGCTTTTGTGGCCAAAGCATCTTCAAGCTCAACACAGATGCCCAGCCTAGCTCTGAAGGAGCACACACCCCCCTTACAGGAATGAGTTAGCAGCCTCCATGTAGGCATGGCCGTGATCTTTTGCCCACTTGATTTTTTGAAAGTAATCAGAACTTACATGTCCTTATTGTCAGCCATGGCTTTACTCTAAGTGGCATGCTCATTATGCTTAGTCAGCTTAATGAGTCTAAACTTGTCTTGCCTAAGTTCCCCCACTACAAGCCCAGAACACAGAGACTTTCCATCCCGGCCCTAGCTTACATCCATTCATCATTAGAACAAGTGACATGTGCATTCCAGGCCAATGACAAGCCTTTTTTTTTTTCTCTTTACAGTGGACTTCTCAGTATCATCCAACGTAGAACCAACAACAGCAGCAACCACATTGTTTCTGAGAAAATCAAGTACACAGGCCATGTCTGCAGCCCTGGTTGCCAGGGGCACCAGCAGCAGTGGATTAGCCAAGAGTAGTTTGACCACTGTGCCAGCTAAAAATATCACAAACAAGGCAGCATCTGGCCCAAAGGTGGTGCCAGGGGCAGTCCATACAGCCTTCCCGTTCACACCAACCTACATGATGTCAAGAACAGCACACACTGTGAGCACACAGCCAGCCATGCAAGGGAACCCTGGCACTGCCTCTGGCCTGTTGTCCACAACACACCTTCCCAGGAAATCACAAGCCATGCATACCGGCCTCCCAAACCCTGCCAACCCAGAGGTGCCCAGAGTGTCCACCCCACGGCCCCTGACGGTCACGGCAGCATTGGCATCTGGTACAGCACCAGTAAAGGCTACTCGGTGGCCATCTTCGCCATCAGAAAACACTGATGCTGCTCTTCCTGCGGTGTCGACTGCGGTGGTCACCATCGGCAAGATGGCATCCAATCTGGAGTGCCAGATGTCCAGGAAGCTCCTGGTGAAGACAGGTAAGAAGCGACTGTCCCTCTTTAAACTTTGTTGAGAGAGCGAGATCCCCAAATGCCCACATTGGCTATAGGACTGGGCCAAAGCCAGGAGCTAGGAACTCCATCTGGCTCTCCCACAGAGGTGGCAGAGACCCAACTATTGGAGCCTTCACTGTTACCTCCAGGAACTGCATTAGCAGGAACTGAAGTCAGGAGCTGGAGCCAGGATTCAAACCCAGGCGCTCTGATATGGGTAGCATATCTGCTACCCTAGCGTAACCACTAGGCTAAACACCTACCCCCTACTATCTTTGTGATCTGACCTGAAAGCAATTCTGGCCTCAGAGATGGATCAGAATGATTTTCCTTTTAGGTAAGTGATTCTCACACAGGAGTAGTTTTGGCCCTTGCTCACTGGCTGAGGGCAGGGTGGAGGGAGACATTTGGCCATACCTAGAGTCACTTGCAATGGGGTTGGGGGCGGGGAGGTGCCACTGGAATCTAGTAGAGTGGAGACTGGGATACTGGTAATATCCTACTCTGTGTGTGACGGCCCCTGACAACAAAGAATCATCCAGCTCCAAATGTCAGTAGGGCTGTGGTGACAAGTGACACAGATTCTGGGATTCTACTGCTAGGATCAGTCTTGATGTCAGAGGTCTCTGGGAAACCACAGTCCTGCCCAAGGGTCTGAGAACAGAACTGTGCACTGTGCTGCCTGGGGAGTGAATCAGTGATGTCTTGTGAATAAATGATGTGGTTTGTGAAACACAATCTTGAGAAGTGTTAGGTGTTCAGAAAGGCTTTTTGTCGCGTGTTTTCTCAGTCAGTAGACACTGAAAGCTCAGCTTCGTACACTGTGTGAGAGCCCAGGGTTGCTTATAATGTTAAAGAGGGGACTTTCTTGAAAACATCGAACAGGCGGCTCTGGTGCCCTGAGCAGAGGTGGGGCGCTGTTTGTTTGGACTCCACCCCACACCACTGCAGCAAGGCAGACCTAGAATGCCCAGGGTGCTTTTAAAAGTGTGGGAATGTTTGCTAAAAAAAGCAGATGAATTATTGGAAAGAGCATGCCAATGTTGAATGCTCAAATCCAGCCTTCCTCCTCACCCCACAAAGAATTAAATGAAATTATAGCTGGAGACATATCCTATTCTAAAATGGGAAATCGTGAAACTAGGCACAGCAGCAAGTACAGTATCTCTGCTTCCCAAGAAATGACACCATCTGCTTTTCCACTCCCCCTCCCCCTCCCTCCAGATCCATGCCTCTGAGTGACAGGCAGGCCCAACCCCCAAGAGGCAGAAAAATCTCCCACCCGCCTTGTTCACCAGCCCCATGCCAGCCACATCTAATCAATCCCTGATTCCTTCCTTTTGGTTCTCCCCTCCGAGTGCCCGTTCTCTCCATCTTAGTTCGCACTCGTCGGCGCTCACCCACATTTCTGCTCCAACAGCCACGTTCTCTCTCTCGCTGCCTTTAGACTCCTCCTTTTCCAATCTGTGCTCCAGGCTGCAGTCAAAGGAACCCAGATGGCATTTCTTTGCTTAAAACGCTTCCCTTTCCAGCACCTCAGGACCAAGGCTAAGCGTGTATGCCGAAATATTTCCATTCCCTTCCCTTCCCTGCACCCTTGCACTTAGCATTCCCTCTGCTGGGAGCTGTTGGGAATAGTCTTTTCCCTGAGGCTTTGCTCACACCTGCCGGCTCTCAGGACTCTGTGGACGCTTTCCCTGATCCCCAGCCCTCTGCCCTGCTCAGAGCTGGTGCATGCTAGGCTTCAGCTCAGAGAGCACCTGTCACATTTACTCGCCTCTTCCCTGTCCGTGTCTCCATCGCCACCTCTGGTCGCTTTGCAAGGTGGGGACTGTCCCTTCCCAGTGCCAGGTTGTTTAGGCCGTAGCACCTCGCTCAGGACCTGCACCCAAGCAGGCTGCCAGTGATTGCTGTTGCAGGAACTTCATTGCACGCAGACCCATCCGGGGCAGGCACTGCTGAGCTCTCCTTCTAAGAGGCAACATGGGCCTGCAGCCCACCAGCTGTCTCTCCGTTAGGACCACGCACACATGGTGGGGGCCTTCTTTCCTTAGGACCTCACTGGGACCCACAGAGCCACTTCTCCAGCCCATGTGGATGGGACCTGTGCTCACCAGCCTTGCCCAGAACTTGCAGGAGCCAGGGGCTGGGAGGAGGAGAGACCTTACCCTGAATCCTGTGTTTCTGTTTTGCCCCCACAGTTCTCTTTGTGATGCCGAGGAGAGCACAGACCAGCGAGTCCTTGAAGCTCACCGTGGCAAAGGGGCTCACGCAGGCCTTGCGGAAGGCTTTCCGCCAGAGTGACGTGGTCGCCCATGTAAGCCCCTAGCTCTGCACCCGGCTGAAGCCGGCCAATTCCCTCCCTTGGGTGGTCCAGACCATGACCACATATGCCAGAAGTAGGCTCTTTCTTCATTTTACAGCTGATGTGTGGTGGTCAGAACAAAAGGGGTCAAGTGTAAAGGTGGGGATTGAGAGTAATGGCCGGTGTCTAGATTTTCTTCATAAGGTTTATTTATTTATTTATTTAGTGGAGAAGCAGAGTTACAGACAGACAGAGGGAGAGACAGAGAGAATGGTGTTCCATCCTCTGGTTCACTTCCCAAATGGCTGCAAAGGCTGGAGCTGTGCCAATCTGAAGCCAGGAGCCAGGAGCTTCTTCCTGGTCTCCCACATGGATGCAGGGGCCCAAGCACTTGGGCCATCTTGTACTGCTTTCCCAGGCCATAGCAGAGAGCTGGTTAGAAGAGGGGCAGCTGGGACTTGAACTGGAACCCATATAGGATGCCAGTGTCACAGGCAGTGGCTTTACCTAATATGCCACAGCGCCAGCCCCTAGATATTTTTAAAAAAGAGATTTATTTATTTATTTATTTGAAAGAGCTACAGAGAGGCAGAGGCAGAGAGAGATGGAGTGAGCTGATCTGAAGCCATGAGCCAGGAGCTTCTACCAGGTCTCCCATGTGGGTGCAGGGGCCCAAGCACTTGGGCCATTTTCTACTGCTTTCCTAAGACATAGCAGAGAGCTGGATTGGAAGTGGAGCAGCTGGGACTTGAACCAGTACCCACAGGGGATGCCGGCACTGCAGGTGGAGGCTTTATCTGCTAAGCCACAGCTCTGGCCCCCTAGATTTTGTTTAAAGTCTAGGTATATTAAGGTCTTTCAAAAAATTTGATAAAAATAGAATTAAAAGGTAAGCTTGGGACAAAAAGTTGTGAAATCCATGCATACAAGAGGTCTTCAAAAAATTCACTGAAAATGCATGCTATGAAAAAGCTACACTTGCAGTTCAAAATTTGTTTTGCCCCAAAATGAACTTAATTCCATTTTTTCACAGACTTTTTTTTTAAACTTTTTTGAAGTGCCTCTGTTCTGCTTTAAACTGTCTCATTCACCCATCTTTTGGGGCGCATATTTAATACTGCTTGTGTAATTCCCTAGAAAGTTTCCAATGCTTTTCTCTTTGTCTTCCTCATCATTATTAATAGTGATTTATTTCTGGACATTTGAAAATTATTCCAGTTTGTAAATCAAGTCCAACTTTGCTGAAATTGCCAGCAGCAAGCAAGGAAGTAAACATTTCATTTTTCTCCAAACACTTTAATGCCAAGTGCTGTTAACAACTGCTGGCTGCTGTTGGTGGCATATCTGAGCTTTGTGAGCCTTGGTTTACAGTGTCTTGGTTTAATTCCAAGTTTTAAAGCAGTAAAAGCAGTTGGCACTCAGTGGCCTCCCTTTTGCACCACTGACAAATATTGCTCTGGCTTCTTCCTTCGAGGGTCTGTGTTCCAGCTGCACCTGGCCTAGAGATCCGCCCTCACCACTACACTGAGATTTGGCACAGAGGTTACTGGTCATTGTCAATCTCTTTTGTACAGTTCCAGAAAAAAAAAATAGAAATAAAAAGGAAATGCATTCATGAGAGGTACCCATGGTTTTTGCACCTGAAACTTTATTTGATAGTTGAAAGTATGAATATTCTCATTTAGTTGTCTATTAGAGTTTTCACTAAACGTCAGTCATTCTCAAACTACCTTCACCATTTTGGTATTTTCTGAATATCATCACAGACTACTGTAGCAATTAGTATTTTTGAAAATTGGCTCACTTTTTAAAACACATTTCTTTTGAAAGGATGTGCATGTGGAAATCAAGATCATTTGCCACAAAGAAAAGATGCTAAGCTGTAGTCAGATAGGAGTAAGAAGTCCCAGTGCACAGGAGGTGGCTAAAGATAATGTAAAGTACTATATGTTTTTTCTTAAGAAAAAAGCTAGAATTTTGAATGTTCACACCACAGAGAAATGATGTCTGAGGAGCTAGATAGGTTTGCCCTGACTTGAACATTGCATAACATATTCATGCATCATAATATCCTGTGATACCTCATAAATATGTACAGTGTTTATGTGTCAGTTATAAAGATAATGGTAAAAATGAGAATAATGGAAAGCAAACAGCTTGTTAAAGTCAAGCTGCACATCGTTATATGCAGGAGGGTCTGAGGCTGAGTCTGGTGAGCCTCTGTTTGTTTGTTTGTTTAATTTATTTATTTGACAGGTAGAGTTGTAGACAGTGAGAGAGAAAGAGAGAGAGAGAAAGGTCTTCCTTCCTTTGGTTCACTCCCCAAATGGCTGCTACGGCCGGAGCTGCGCTGATCCGAAGCCAGGAGCCAGGTGCTTCTTCCTGGTCTCCCTTGCGGGTGCAGGAACCCAAACACTTGGGCCATCCTCCACTGCACTTCCGGGCCACAGCAGAGAGCTGTACTGGAAGAGGAGCAACCGGGACTAGAACCTGGTGCCCATATGGGATGCCGACGTTGCAAGGCAGAGAATTAACCAAGTGAGCCACGGCGTTGGCCCCCTCTGTTTGTTTTAAAAACAGAATTAGCAAGCGTTAGGGAGGTGTTAGCAGCCAGTAATCCCTGCCCTGAGACTTGCTCCTGGAGGTGATGAGGGCTGGAAAGGGAGCAGCTTTCTCCCCGGGTGCTTTCTGCTATCCCCTGTGGCACCTGTGCTCCAACCTGAAGTGCCTCTTGCTCCAATGTAAGTGTTAGAAGAGCAGCTGATGGCACACACACTGCGGAGCCAGAGGCAGAGTCACCCTGCTGCAAAATCAGGGGTCTTGGCTTCATTGGAGAATACACCTGACAGTGGTAATGGAGATGCAAGAATGAGGTGGGGGTGGGGGAAGAAGCAGATACTCCAAACACCCAAGGATAGACTTCCAGATTTTCAAGGTGAAAGAAAGTTCTGGAGGAAGATGGTGCGCTGTTGCACACCAGCACAGGTGTATCTAACACCGCTGAACAGTACAGGTCAAAATGGTAAGGATGGTGGATGTGATGTGTACTTCAGACCAATAGAAATTGGAAAAAAAAAAAGGAGATTTATGAAGACATCATCTCTACCATGCATGCCTACATCCATGTGTATGTATACATATATACATATATGTGTGTATATATATAAAATATATATTCCCAGGACATAAAACTGAAAGGAAATAGACTTAAAAAGGATTATATGAGTATTATAATGGTGTGGTGTTAGAGGTGATTGTTATTTTTTCTGTTTTTTTTTTTTTTTAAGATTTATATTTAATTGAAATGCAGAGTTACAGAGAGGCAGAGGCAGAGGCAGAGAGAGAGAGAGAGAGAAAGTCCTCCATCTTCTGGATCACTCCCCAAATGGCCAGAATAGCCAGAGCTGGGCTGATCCAAAGCCAGGAGCCAGGAGCTTCTTCTGGGTCTCCCATATGGGTGCAGGGGCCCAAGCACTTGGGCCATCATCTACTGCTTCCCAGGCCATAGCAGAGAGCTGGATCGGAAGTGGAGCAGCTGGGACTTGAACTGGCACCCCTATGGGATATTCATATTGCCGACTAGGGCTTTAACGCACTGCATTATAGTGCCGGCCCCTAATTTTTCTCTGTTTTTCAGATATACTAATTCTACAATAAACATTACATTTAATATACAAAAAGCCATCCCAAGTTGTTAATATATAACACCAAGAAAGCAAAATAAAATAAGAGTTAAATCTAAAGCCCCTAAATCTTCCAATTGGAGCAGAAAGAGCTCAGATCCTCAGTGTTCCTGATGACTGGGATGTGAGAGACACTGGCTTTGGTTTTGAACCAACTCACAAGTCAAGGATGGAATCAAGTCTGCATGATGCTTCTCTGTAGCTCTAAAGACAGGAATGCACTTCAGTTCCTCTTTGACCTATGCCCAATAGATGCCCCACTTAATCTATCATTTCTGTCTTTTAATTCTCATAAATGATGAGAAATAGAATAAAGCTGTTTTCCCAGCTTTCCAGTTGCGAGAAGTCTCTTTTGCCTGCTGTCTCCTCACTGTCTTTTTGGCAGAGTGGTGCTCACAGGATTATACTGAGTCGCTTAAAGATTAAAATAGCACAGACCTAATTCTATCCCATGTAAGTTTGCTGCGAATTGTACCTTATTGTATGATGATAGTCTGAGACTTTCCAATTCATGCATACTTTATAGGATTGTTAGCATTTTGTATTCCCAGCCTAGCTACCTAACAGTTGTGGATCTAAGAAACGCCAAGAACTTAAAGTACTCTGAAAATAAACAATGTGTTTTGTGGGTCCATTTGTTTTGTAGGTGGACATTCTGGAACATTCTCACAATGTCACAGTTGGCTATTATGCTACCAAAGGGAGATTAGTGTACTTGCCTGCGGTAGTGATGGACATGCTGGGCGTTTACGGAGTCAGCAATGTCACTGCAGACCTGAAGCAACACACCCAAAACTTGCAGTCCGTGGCGGTCCTTGCCTCCCCATGGGTTCCCCAGCCCGCGGGCTACTTCCAGCTGAAAACAGGCAAGTAACTCAGAGGGAAAGGATTCTTACCATCCTGGGATCAGGGCTATTAATACCATGCGGACACCTGTTTAGAGCCCGATTGCTAACTGCCCTGTCCTCTTTTAAATTCCCTGTGGACTTTCCTCCAAGGGCCCTGCCAATCAGATGTCCATGTTCCCTGCACATCAGCCCAGACTTTCCAGCCTTGGGCTTATTGGCAATCTTTCTTCACTGAAGGCTTCCTTCTTGGTCGGTAGAATTAGTACCTTCGAGCACCAAGTAGTGTATTTTCCCTCCCCCCCTGCATCACAAGAGGATAAATGTAGGGCTTGAGTATCCACAGACTCTGCGGTGTGCAGCAGTAGGTTTCAGATGCCACTGAATCAGAATCTCTGCGCTCAGGTCTTGGAGTCTTTGTTTTTTTTTTTAAGCTACTCTGGTGATTTCTGATCATTAAAGTTTGTAAACCACAGGAATTGAGAAACCATTAAAATTGAAACAATCAACTTAGTAGTAGGATTCCATCGATTATGGTTTTCCCTCCAAAGAAATAGAAGGCACAAGCTCTTTTAAGTTATTTTCAGTCTTTTAGGGGGGAGATGCGTGCATATTCCAGTTGATAAAATCACAAAATCATTTGCACTGGAGGAGATCTCAGGTTCGATCATGTCTTTAATTCTGCCTGATTTAAGTCATTTTAAGAGTCACTTTCAAAGCTACAGTCAACCTTGTCTGGCCCTGTTGTGTATTTGCCCAATTCCCCTTGATCTGAACCTGTGCTGTTTTATATCATGGCTGTGAGTAAACCCAGGGGATGAAGACTTGGAGTTCTGGGGAGTGCTGATCTTCACTCTTGTTGCAGTGCTGCAGTTCGTGAGCCCATCAGACAACATACAGTCCTGCAAGTTTGCTCAGACTATGGAGCAGAGACTGCAGAAGGCCTTCCAGGATGCTGAGAGGAAAGTCCTGAATACTAAAAGCAACTTGACGGTGCAGGTAGGGAGGTGCTTCAGGCTGTGTAGTTGACAGATGATCACAATGCAAATTTGATTGGTAAGAAATGACTCCGGCTCCCCATTTTGGTGTAAGTGCAGCTTTGCACTTGGGGCATGCAGTGTTGACAGTCATGGTATTGGTGAAGGTGTCTGGGGTCCAGCTGTAGTAGGGGAGGAGCTGTGTGGCTGTGCACCTGCCATGGCTTGGAGTGTTATATGTCTTTTCCCATGTGATTCTTCCTCAGGCCTTTCTGATGTAGATATTATTTTTAAAATTGGGCTAGGATCTCCTATATATGTTAGTTCTGATAGGAAATGAATAAATGAGTTGGTCTTACAGAGCTAACTCACCAAGATTTGCCTGTTCTGTATTTTGCATATGGTTCAATTGCACACACCTGCATGAACAATAACCCTTGCTTATACATGCATACATTTTATACTGAGGGTGTACTAAGTGCCAAAAACTGTGCTGTTTTACAAGTACATAATACTGAAAATGTCCTTCTGAGCTATTCTTACTCCAGTTGCACAGAAGAGGGACATGAGAGGTTAAGAAACTTCCCAAGGTCACACAGTAAAGGACGAAGCAAGGATTTGAGCCAAAAGTCCACACCCTTATCAACTAAGCTACACTAGTATTAGTATAGCATTGCAATTCAATCCTTAGTGAAACTTTTTGCAAACCCAGGAATTCTTTCCCAGGAAAATCCCAGTCCTGATGTACTGTATTTCAGCCTCCTGGATGAGCAGTGTATTCACCACCAAAGGCCTGTTGTAGACACATGTTTTGTAATTGTAAAGATATCATCATAGCAAGGACAGATGCTTCTTAATGATATTCTTCCAGCCTTAAAATTTCTCTAATTAACTCCACTATTCAATGTCTGTGTTTTGACTACTGAACTAAAGCCATCACAATTAGACCCGGTGGTTTTGAAATTGACATTTAGCATAAGTGAATTATCAGCAAAGCCAATCTGCTGTAGAAAGCATACAATTTAATTTGAACCAGCAGCTTTCCTTTTCTAGATTCATCCAAGTGTAGATGGAAGTATCTCATTATAATTTGTTTCATATTAGCTTAAGATCTAAAAATGTGTCATAGACTTAAGATTTATGTAAGAAGTGTGACTCAGCTCTCTGGTGGGAAATCTTTTTCTTTTTGATTGGATTTCTGATCCTCACAGGTGCATGAACCCAGTTAGATCTTGGCAGTAGAGCATACTTTAATTGTATTCTGGAAACATAGACATACTGAGCACCTGCTATTTGTCAAGCACTGGGAGAGACACCAAGAAAAATAAGCTGCCCTTGGCCTTAAGAAGCCTCTCTTGTGTTGTTGTATGGTAGTTATGGGCCACTAGATGAAGCTTTGAAAAGCAAGTAACAAACCTTCTTTGGAAAAGACTCCAACAGGTGATTTGAAAATTGCATCTCAGTAGATTTCAGATGCTCTAAAACATTTCAGCAGCTTTTAAAATGAATGGCTAATTGGGTAGATCACTTAATTAACCCCATTTCGCTTTTTGTGTTGGCTGACAGGAAGCCCGTAGCTAAGTTTGTTGCCTGAATGTAGTAACCCTCTCAGTCCCTAGCACGCATCTGTCCTTCTGGGGTTACTTTTCATCTCTTTTACCAGGACTTTGTTTTCTAATTAATAACCTTCCATTATATTTTATTAAATAGAATTTATAAGACACCTCCCTTTGTGGAATAAGACCACATAAATATTTAATTCATTTTTTTCTGAGAGTTATTGAAAAAGTGACCTTTTAAAAAAAACTGTAGGGGCCGGTGCTGTGGCATAGCAGGTTAAGCTGCCGCCTGCAGCACCTGAATCAATATTGGCACCGTTTCAAGTCCAGGCTGCTCTATTTCCCATCCAGCTCCCTGCTAATGCACCTGGGAAAGCAGCAGAGGATGGCCCAAGCGCTTGGGCCCCTGCACCCACATGGAAGACACAGATGAAGTTTCTGGTTCCTGGCTTTGGCCTGGCCTGGCCCCAGCTATTGTGACCATTTGGGGAGTGAACCAACAGATAGAAGACCTCTGTCTCTCCCTCTCTCTCTCTTTAATTCTGCCTTTCAAATAAATAAATTAAATCTTTAAAATAATTGTATAGCTTTGGTGTTAGGGGCTAGATCACAGTTAACTCAGGATGTTTTAATTGGAGATGTGACAGGATTCAAGCTTAAAAGACTTCAGCAAAAAGAAGAAATTGGCTCCTGCTGCTGAAAAGCTCACAGCCTATTTCCTTCAGGTGTAATTGCATCCAGGTGCTCAAACGATTTCTTCATGAAGCGCTCTCTCCATTTCTTGGCTTGCTTTGCTTTGGGCTGGCTTCATCCTCAGCTTCCATGGGGTGGTCTCTTGCACCTACAGGTTTGCCTCATCCTTAGTGTTCATAGTTTTGTGGAAACACAGTGCCCTCTGTTTATGTTATTCCAGTCAAAATCCTGGGCTTGGCTCTCATGGGACTGACTCTGCCCACTTCTGGATTGGTAACTGTGGCCAAGGATGTGAAATGCCCCATGCAAGTAGGGCTGGCTCACATGCTCACTACTGTAACTTGGGTGTCACCCCATAGAAGAACATGAGCAGAGAGGAGAGGGAGGGGAGGGGAGGAGAGGAGAGGTGGCTTCTCAAGAAAATTGTGCTGTCCGAGGACAATGGATGCTAGACAGGCAAACAACAGCCTTCACTTCTTTAGCTTGTAATTATTTTTTTAAATTATTTATTTATTTGGGAGGGTTACAGACAGAGGAGGGAGAGAGAGAGAGAGGTCTTCTATCTGCTGGTTCACTCTCCAAATGACTGCACTAGCTGGAGCTGGGCTGATCAGAAGCCAGGAGCCAGGATCTTCTTCCAGGTCTGCCTCATGGGTGCAGAAGGACTTGGGTCATCTCCCACTGCTTTCCCAGGCCGTTAGCAGGGAACTGGATTGGAAGAGGAGAGCTGGGACATGAATTGGCACCCATATGGTATGTTGGTGCCACAGGCAGAGGCTTAGCCTACTACGCCGTAGCTCTGGCCCCCAGCTTGTTGTTCTGATTAGCCAAAGGTATCATGTCATGAGTGAATGAGAATTAAGAGATGATCTCAGAAGCTTCAAGAGTCCAAGGGCAAAGGGCTGATGGCAAAGTGTCATGTGTTGGGGCTGCCTCTCCTGGGTGACAGGGCCTAACTTGCGGACCAGAGCTGTGGTCTTGGTCTCAGTCTGCTAGACCTTTTACTTTTGAACTAATATTAAGTAGCCACCAAGAATGGTCACACTTTTTCCTTAGCTATAAAAAAATATTAAAGAAGACACAAATAAATGGAGGATATCCTGTGTTGATGGATTAATAGACAATATTGTAAAGATGTCAGCACTACCCAAAGAGATCTACAAATTTAATGTAATCCTTATCAAGATCTCAGTGATCATTAAAAATTTTTTTCATCATTTTTTAAAACATAAATAGAAAAATTTATCCTGAAACTCATGGAATCTTGAGGGAACATAAATAACCAAAGCAACCCTGAAAAGGAAGAACAAATTGGAGGGTTACACTTTATGGTTCCAAAATTTCCTCCAAAGCTATGGTAATCAAAACACTGTGGTCATGGTATAAAGACAGAATAGAATAGAATAGAGAAGCCAGGAATAAAACCTTTTACATTTGTCCAAATTATTTGTTTTATTTTTTGAAAATTTATTCAAGAGGCAGAGACAGGCAGGAAGAGCTCCAATCCTGATTCACTCCCTGAACGACTGCAATGACCAATCAGGGCTGGGCCAAAGCTGACAGTCAGATTTAGCCAATTCAGGCCTCCCATGTGAGTGGTAGAGGCTCAACCATTTGAGCTATTACATGCTGCTTCCCAGGGCCCACATTGTCAGGAAACTGGAATTGGGAGCTGAAGCCAGGAATGAAGCCCAGTCAACCTGATATAGCACATAGGCACCTCAGCTGGCATCTAGGCCAAAATGCTAGGGCAAGTGTCTGCCTCAGCCTGGCGATTTTTGACAAGGATGCCACTGCTACTAACTAGGGGGTGGAAAGGGGAGCCATCTCAACACATAGGGGAAGTGGGACATTTGCATGCAGAAGAATGAAGATGGTCCCTACCTGACTGTCCAACAAAACAAGCTCAGCATGGATTGACCTGAATTCAAGAACTAAAACCATAGGACTCTTAGAGGAAAACATAGGGGGAAAACTTCATGACATTGGACTTGAAAATGATTTGTTAGATGTGATACCAAAAGCGCAGGACACTATCCACAGAGCAAAATGGCAATGCACAGAATAAAAAAGATATTTGCATATCATATATTGATAAGTGGTTAACATCATAACATATAAAGAACTCCTTAAACTCAACAATAAAAATACATTAAGAAATGGGCAGAAAACTTAGAAATAGCTCCAAAAACAGTTATAAAGTAAGCTCAAAAAAGATGCTCTACATCATTAAACACTGAAGAAATGCAAAGCAAAACCATGAGATACAACTTCACATCTATTAGTATCCTAAAAAAAAAGGAAATAGCGTTAATGAGGATGTGGAGAAATTGGAATCCTGTGTGTTGCTAGTGGAAATGTCAAATGCTGCAGCCACTGCAGAGAGCATTGTGGTGGTTCCTCAAAAAAAATGTAAATGTGGAATCACAACATGAGCCAGCAATTCCATTTCTGGGTGTATACCAAAAACCATTGAAGATTTGGACTCAAGCAGGTTTTTGTCCACCACGTCCAAAACAGAATTACCCACAACAGCCAAAGATGGAAGCAACCCAGTGCCCTTCAGTGGAGGACTGGATAAACAAAGGTGGCGTATACACACAAAGGAAAAGTATTCCGCCTTTGAAAAGGATGGACATCCTGATGCCACAGCGCAGATGAACCTTGAGGACTTGCTAGCTGAAATAAGCCAGCCTTACAAGAGGTATCTAGAGTTGACAAATTACTCATTGTAAAAGCTCCCACTTGTAAGAGGTATCTGGAAAGTAGAATGGTGGTTGCCATGGCTGTGGGGAGGGAAAAGTTAGGAGTTGTTAATGGGCAGAGTTTCATTTTGGGATGATGAAGACATTCCGGAGATGGATGGTGGTTGATGCTTGCACAACATGTGTATGTATTTCATACTGCCGAAATAAACAGTTAAAAATGGTTAAAATGGTACATTATATTTTTATATATTTTGCCACAATAGTAAAAACGAGAACAATTTACCTGGTTGAGTGTATTGTGAGCAGAGCTGTGCAAATCATTGGTTTCATAGGCTTACTTGGGGTCCAGTGAGATTTAGTTTTGTTGGAAGGTGAAAAACTAGAATGTTCATTGTACAGATAAAGATTTAAAGTTACTAATATTTTAGTCATTACTTTTTAGGTGGCAGTATGAATTGAACCATTCAGAAGGAAGTGTTTTTCTTTTGGAACCCTGGGCTGAGCCACATTCCAGAAATATGTCCAGAGAGAATAAGAATGGAGCGGAAATGTGAACTCTGTTCATCATGAATCGTGGGAATGCAGGCTCTGGGTTAGAGAATTAAAAAGGAACTTCCACGTACGGGGAGGAGAGGGAGAGAAAGTGAGGAAGCTATTCTTGACAGTCTCCTTCAAAGTCAGGTTTAAGAGGAAAGTGGCACGGATCTTTATGTCTGAGAATGTGAAGGTCTGAAAAAGACTGGGTATCAGTCTGCGTTGGCAGCAGAGAGAGGGGCGTGCAAAGGAAGGTAATTTGAGGATTGTTCGACAAAAGGCACTCTTTGTAGAAATGTGGGCAGAGACAGTGCAGCACCCACGGCTGAAGCCATGGGGCCCGGCTGGGGTCAAGGGAGGGAGCATTCCTGGCTGGCCCTACAGGGAAGGAGTCTCAGCATGAGCACCAGGACCTTACGGCTCTTCTTCACTCCCACATCTTCCCAGATCCCCATTAGCTGAAGCCAGAAGGCAAAGGCACCCATTGAGGTAGCCCCAAGGGTCGGCTTCTGGGGCAGGACAGCAAGTGGACCTAAAAAGAGAAGTCAGACCCCAGCACAGAACTCGCCAAAAAAATGCCTCACCAAGTCGAATAGCTCCCTACTGCTTGTGTTTCTTTTAAATCTCATCTGTGGGATATTTTTATCTGTACATTGACCCAGAAAACCTCATTTTCCAGCACTAAAAACCCGACTCTGGTAAAATGCGAGAAGAAAACCATGCAACCTCATAGGGTTTTCTATGTGTTCTATATTGAATTAAAAGCCACAGGAATGTGATTGTCCTGTAAAGACCATATTTTATATCTCCAAATTCCTTTTATAATCAGATTCAGTCGCCCTGCAACTAAATTGGTGATCAGCTCTGTACGTTGCTGGAGCTTTCAACTTTAAAATTCCCTAGAAGTTTAACTCCAGCCTTTTCTGTCTGAGCAGTTGAGGTCACCTTCATCTGACATCCCCATGCTCTATTTATATTTTCAGAATCATAAAGTCACCTAAAACAATTTAGTTCCCGGAAGCAGTCTACACACGAATGGTTAAGAAGCTGAAGTCATACTGCCCTGGCTAGCTGTGTGACCTTAGGCAGGTCCCTTGCTCATTCGGGGCCTCTGTCTCATCATCCATAAAAGAGAGTTGTGACTGCATCCATGTCCTGGGGTTGTGGTGAGGAGGACAGCAGACGAGGCCCTTAGCACAGCTCCTGGCATGCAGTGAACAGTCTGTAAATGATCATTGTTATTCTTGTCTCTTCCTTGCTATTTTCCCATCCTGCCTTTCATTCCCCTCCTCAACTTCTCTGAAACTTCTCCTCCCATGGCCGCTGGGAAGCAGACCTTCCTCTCACTTGGCACGTCGCCCTCCCCTTTCCTCCTGTGTCAATTCAGGTCGTGAGCACATCCAACGCCTCGCAGGCAGTCACCTTGCTGTACGTCGTGGGCAATCAGAGCACCTTCCTCAATGGCACCGTGGCCAGCAGCCTCCTTAGCCAGCTCTCAGCTGAGCTGGTGGGATTCTACCTCACCTACCCGCCACTCACCATCGCCGAGCGTGAGTATATCCACCTCATCCGGGGACCCAGCTGTGTCCCCTGGAGCTTTCTCTATCCAGCAGACATCCACATACTGCCTCTTCTAGCATGAGATGAGAGCTGGAATAGGCAATGCATTGGAGTTAATTGATGACAAGTTGACTGCAAATTGAAAGAAAGCACTGGCAAAGTGCTTTCAGCCTTAACATGCCTCTTATCTCCTCAAATCCTCACAACCACCTTGTGGGGTAGGTACAGAATTGGCACCATTGTGAAGACAAGAAAACCGATGCTCCAAGGAGTCTTTCCAGATCCCCAGTCTCACATAGGTGGTGAGACGTGGGACCTGGGATTTGATCACACACAGTTCTGAGCTTCCAGAATTGTCTACAAGGGTGTCTGTCCTTGGAGCAATCGGGGTTTCTATGGTTTTCTCCCACTTGGGCCATTTGCAAATGTTTCCAGACCTTCTGCCCCTGCCCTGGCTGGAGAGACCATAATGCAGCTCATTTGCAGTCAATGTCATGATTTTACTTCAAGAAGTCTTGTGGCCTTGTCTTCCTCTAATGCTTTGGTTACATAATTCTCATTACCATGCAGGAGGCATAGACTTTAAAGACAATGCAGCCTACTTTTTGTATCCAAACACTTACTTGATAGCCAAAGGAAGTAAAGATTTGTTCTCTCAATCATTTTTACATTTCCCAAGGTTACTGGGAAAGGTTTTTTTTTTTTTTTTTTAATGTTGGGACTGGCACTGGGGTGTGGTAGGTTGATGCCCTGGCTGAAGCACCAGCATCCCATGTGGTTCGAGACCCAGCTGCTCCACTTCTGATCCAGCTCTCTGCTGTGGCCTGGGAAAGCAGTGGAAGTTGGCCCAGGTCCTTGGGCCCCTGCACCCACATAGGAGACTTGAAGGAAGCTCCTGGCTCCTGGCTTCAGATCAGTGCAGCTCCAGCCATTGTGGCCAGTTGGGGAGTGAATCATCAGATGGAGGACCTCTCTCTCTCTCTCTCTCTCTCGCTGCCTCTTCTTTCTCTGTGTAACTCTGACTTTCAAATAAATAAATAAATCTTTAAAAAATATATTGGCAAAAATTATCTCAATATCCTCTTGCAGTTATTTTTAATACTGTAACCAAATGAGATAATGTATGCAAATATAGTTAGCACATAGTAGCCACTAAGAATTTTTTGGCAAACTTTGACCAACTTCCATATAGTATGAAAAAATTACTCTTGAGTTTATGGAAAAGATGATTTTGTGAAAGATGGTGGGATGTCACATGGCAGCATGTGCAGAATTTTCTTCCATTACTTTGTTATTCAGATAATAACAGCAACTAAGATTATTGAGCACCAACTGAAGTGAGTTCTGTGCATGCATTAACACCAATAGTCACCATACTTTGTTAGAAACACTCAGCTACTGAACTTCAAGTTCTTGAAATTGGAGAAATCCACTCAAGAGATACTTATCCCTAAAAATGTTAGTGATGGTTGTTATAACTTTTAAAGAGAAAACTACAGCTAAGACACGTTCTAGCTGTGAGAGACAAAACCCACAAACCCTAGAAAATTCATCATTTGAAAGTTAGCTATTGACAGTCTTTTTTTTTCAAAGACTTATTTTATTTGTTTGAAAGTTGGAGTTACAGAGAGAGACAGAGAGAATCTTCCACCTGCTGGGTTACTCCCCAAATGGCCACAATGGTTGGGACTGTGCCAGGGTGAAGCTAGGAGCCAGGCACTTCTTCCGGGTCTCCCACACGGGTTTCGGGGGCCTAAGCACATTAGCAGGGAGCTGGATTGAAAGTGGAGCAGCTGGATCTCAAACTGGCACCAATATAGGATGCCAGCGTCTCGGGAGCAGCTTTACATGCTATGCCACAAGGCCGGCCCCAAGTCTTCTCATTTTCTGAACAGCCTGAGAGTTTATCCTGTATGTCAGAGAGTTCCCAAGAACAATAAAGCAGGATTTAACTCCTTGCCATTTTTTACTTTATGTTAAATTCTTTTGACAATATTTACACATAAAGCCTATAAAAGTAATTTTGTGTGTTTCTGGTTTGTTTTAGCACTGGAATATCCCAACCTTGATATATCAGAAACTACCAGAGACTACTGGGTAATTACAGGTAATGTCTTATTCTGTTATTTTTCTTCTCTGTGCTGGCTCATGGCTTAGTTTGTGGATTTCGTTTTTATTTATTTTTTTTATAATTGTTGTATTTATTTTTTTGTTTTCTTTCTCCCAGAAACCTTTTATTTAAGGTATAAAAACTTCATGCATTTCATAAATACAACTTTAGGAACATAGTGATTCTTCCTACCTGTTCTCCCATCTTTCTTCCTCCTCCCTCTCCTATTCCCATTCTTATTTTTTACTAAAATCTATTTTCAATTAACTTTATATACAGATTATAGTAAGTAAAGTGTTCAACAAATAGTATTAAAAAAAACTGTTCCTCAACAGTTTTTTTATTTTCCTTTTGATTTTTTTCTATGTCCCACTGTTCATTCAGGAGCATGTTGTTCAGTCTCCATGTGTTTGGTATGTTCTAGAGATTCTTGAGTTGTTGATTTCCAGCTTCATTCCATTGTGGTCAGAGAAAATGCATGATATGATTTTGATTTTTTTTAATTTGATGAGACTTGTTTTATGGGCTAGCATGTGATCTATCCTAGAGAAAGTTCTATGCACCGGTGAGAAGAATGTGTATTCTGCAACTGTAGGATGAAAAGTTCTGTAGAAATCCATTAGGTCCAATTGCTATGTAGTATCAGTTAACTGTTGCTTCCTTGCTGAATTTCTGCCTAGTTGTTCTGTCTATTGCTGAAAGTGGGATATTGAAGTCCCCCATTTCTATTGTATTTGAGTCTATGTCTCCCTTAAGGTCCCTTAACATTTCTTTTAAATAGCCAAGTACCCTGTAATTAGGTGCATATATGTTTCTGATAGTTAAATCTTCTGGTTGAATTGACCCCTTGCTCATTACATAGTGCCCTTCTTTGTCTCTTTTAACAGTTTTTGTTAAAGTCTATTTTGTCTGATATTAGGATGGCTACACCTGCCCTTTTTTGGTTTCTGTTAGCATGGAATTTCTTTTTCTATCCTTTCACTCTCACTCTGCATGTATCTTTGTTGGTGAGATGTGTTTCTTGTAGGCAGCAAATAGATGGGTTTTGTTTTTGAATCCATTCAGCCAGTCTGTGTCTTTTAACTGGAGAGTTGAGACCATTTACATTCAAAGTGACTATTGATAAGTAACAACTTGGTCCTGCCACTTTCCCATAATATTCCTATTTTTTACTTTGGATTTCCTTTATACTTTTACTGGGGGATTTTCTGCCTTCACTTTCTTTCATAGTGATGACCATGTTTCTGTGTTTTGTGTGCAACACATCCTTAAGCATCTTTTGTAAGGCTGGATGAGTGGTAACAAATTCTTTCAATTTCTGTTTGTTGTGGGAGGTCTTTATTTCACCTTCATACATAAATGAGAGCTTTGCAGGGTATATTACCCTGGGTTGACAGTTTTTTTTTTTTCTTAAGACTTGGAATATATCTCACCATTCTCTCCTAGCCTGTAGGGTTTCTGATGAGAAGTCTGCTATAAGTCTAATTGGGGATTCTCTGAAAGTAATCTGGCATTTCTCTCATCTGCATTTTAGAATCTTTTTTTGTTTGTTTGTTTTACTTGGAGAGTTTGACTACAATGTGCTGTGGTAAAGATCTTTTCTGATCATGTTGGTTAGGAGTTCTGTGTGCTTCCTGTACTTGGACATCCCTTTCTTTCTCCAAATTAGTGAAGTTTTCTGTAATTATTTCACTAAGAAGACCTTCTAATCCATTTTGTCTTTCCACGCCTTCAGGAACTCCTAATATCCGTATATTGGGTCATCTGATACTATCCCATAAATCTCCAACACTGTTTTTTAGTGTTCTAATTTCTTCTTCTTTTTTGTCTAACTGTAAAATTTCCAGAGATTTGTCTTCTAATGGATATTTCTTCTGCCTTACCAAGTCTGTTGTTAAGTCTTTCCACTGCATTTTTTATTTGTTCTATTGAATTCTTCATTTCAAATATTTCATTTTGACTTCTCTTTAAAATCTCAAATTCATGGGAAAAATGTTCATTCATGTCATGTATGGATTTAATTCATGGATTTGCTTCTGATTACTTCTAAGTAATTGTATGATCAATTTTGTGAATTCTGTTTCTGGTGTTTTTTCAATCTCTTCATCTTCACATTCTAGTATTGAAGTGTTGTTGTGGTCCTTTGGAGGCATCATGTTGTCTTTCTTATTCTTGTTTCTTGAATTGTTGCATTTATTTTTAGGCATTTGTGGAGGGTACTTGTTTGTTTTTTCCCCCAGTGATGGCTTTTATCTTTGGATTTTTCCTCTGTGGCTTAGTGGAGTGCCTGCTCTTTTAGTTAATACCCTGAGGCATGTGCTGGGTGTGGCCAGGGAGTTCTTCTCAGTGCTCCAAGGTTAGAGGGGTGTCTAAGGTGACTCCTAAATTGGGTGGTAAATCTCTCTCTCTCTCTCTCTCTCTCTCTCTCTCTCTCTCTCTTTTTATCAGAGGGGAGGTTTAATCTCCTCTATTGCTGTAGTCCCATGCTTGCCTTCTCTCCTCCAAGGAGTCCCAGAGAGTATAATATTTCATGCTGCCACAAGAACCATACACCAGATCTGTGCAGTCCTCAATGTGAGCACAGATCCTGCAGCAATGACCTTCACCAGGGAATCAGGGAGCCCTGAGTGTGTGGAGTCACCCACAGTGACTGCCCAAAGACCTAGCCACACCCTGTGCCCTCCCATGCAGCCACAGTGTTTTCAAAATCCCAGTACACAAGGCTCCCACAACCATGAGCACCCAGCCCCCTGTCAGTTCTCCCAGCCAGACTCAGGTGTCTCTGCTCAGCTGGTTGCTGGGCACATGGACAGGTGCTGGTGCAGCTATATGTATGTTCAAAATGGCACCAGCCCTCTCCTTGATGCCAGGTGGTTGGGGAAAGAGAAATGCACCCCCATTTTTTCCTCTAGGTTAGCAGGTACACTGTCCCCTGCAAGGTTCTAAGCCGAACACATGCCAGGCTCTTCCCGCAGCTTTATCGCCAGTGGCTTGGCCTGCTACAATCTGGTCTCACCTCACTCTCCAAAGCTGGTGCTGAGGCTCTTGGCTGCTGGAGACCTGAGTTGTGCGTGCCCACACCCTCAATGTAGATCTACGGTGTCCCTCCAATTTACATGGAGTTTGCTCTGCTGTTTTCTACCCAGCTCTTCCCTGAGATTTCACGCTCTCCATGTTTTTTGTTTTTGTTTTTGTTTTACTATTTTCTAGATTAGAGCAGTAAGCTCCCTCCCTATTCTGCCATCTTGGTCTCTCTCCTTGATTTGTGTTTTAGAGCTGCATAGCCTACAGCAGTAGGATTGGCACCTTTCACGGGGTTACTTCTACAGGCCCAGAAGTGGATGGAGTAAGCTGAGTATAAATAGTAGAGAAACATTCAAGCAGCTCCCTTTAAAGTCCCTACCCAGAGTCTCTTGCAGAAAAAGCGGACCTGAGAAACGTTACAGTGTTCACCGGTGCACGTCTAGGGCCTTCCCACGTAATTGGTTCTGTGCTCCTTGGGGGTCAGCACTTGTGCACTGCCCCATAAAACCCCAATTAAAGTCAGGGAGTGATGGGCATGTACTTGTGTCCCTCCCTGGCGTGAGTTCCACACCCACACTTATCCTGGAGTGGCCTGACAGTGAGGGTGGATGGGAGTAGGAGGGTGTTTGGGTGGTGGTTTCTCCTTCTTTTTTTCCCTTGACATTTTGCAGCTGAGCTTTGTGAAGCAGTAAAGAAGTTCTTGTTTCAGTTTTTCAAAAGCCAGGCAATAGCTCAGAAATGAGAGGAACAAGGATTGAGTGCAAGGGAGAAGGAAGATGTTGGTAGGAGGCCGAGTGAGCAGCCCAGGAGAGAAGAGGAAGGGTCACTGGAGAGGTGCGAGAGTCTCCAGGGGTTACCACGATGAAGCCCCACAGCGCAGGTGCCTTACACAGCACACGTGGACTTGCTCGCTGCTCTGGAGGTTGCAAGATTGAGATCAAGGTGTCCCAAATGTGACTTCTCTGGAGGCCTTTCTCCTCGGCTTGCAGACAACTTTCTTCTCCCAGTAGCTATGGCCTACCTCTGTGGGTGTCTGCACCCTAGTCAGCCACACTGGATTTAGGTCCTGCTCTGATGGCCCCATTGGAACTTCATTACCTTTTAAAGATCCTGTCTGTAAATGCAGTCTCATTCTGAGGTGTTAGGACTTCAACGATGAATTTGGATGGAGAAGAGTTAGCCCTTAACAAAGAGGGGGGAAAATCCCACAGGTCCAAGAAGACGTGCCTGGACAGTGCGCTGGTGTCAGCTTCCCTCCTTCCCTCTCGAGTCCCCTCCCTCACTTGCTGGCCGAAGCAGATGGGCTGCTGCCTGAAATACTGAGAGGGGGTGCACATCCCTGCTTGATGAAGCCTGCTCAAGGCCTCATCTAAATGGCAGAAAATTCCATGTCCTTCCCCCCTGCAGAGCCATAGATAGGCAGAGATTGTTTTACCTGCTAAGAAAGCAAATGAAGAAACGCATTGAAAATAACAACAATCATACGACAAATCACCAGAGTTTATGCCCAGGGGAGAGATGATGGTAACCCAGCAACACAATTTTGGAGCTAGCCGGTTATGTAACATTTACAAAATCATGTTTCCTCTTCAAGGAATGGAGTGGGAAACCTGCAGGTATTTCTCCCCTTCTATGAACTTCAGAGGTTACGTTAAAGGCGAACACAGCCTCACTTCAATACAGGCTGTACTTGACCTTCTCCTGGGTCATTCTTCCTCCTCTGCCTATGTCTTACCCTGCCTCTGTCTTGATGGTATAAGAGAAAGCTGGCTACTTTGTCTTGTCTTCAGGGCTTTCCTGGTGCTTACACCACCCTGGGTACTGTTGGGAGTAAGGGCCTCCATCTCTGTATTTGGGGCTCGTTGGGTCAGTTGGTTAGTGCTTTTTTGGAAGGGCTGGAATCAGGTGTCAGAGTGACCCTTCTGCCTTCTCTTTGACCCGTGACTACCACCAACCTGTCCTGTCACTTGCAGAAGGGACAGGACACTGCGTGTTGAGATAGTTTTGTCCAACATTGACTCCAAGACATTGATCACGGGCTGTGGGTCTTGCACCCATTGCTAAGAGCCAGAAGGATTTGGAACAACTCCCTTTTCTATGGTTTGTGTATTGTACAACCCTGACGTATTCTCCAATGAAATTTCTATTGAACATGTTTCTGCACTAGGTGCACTTCTCCTCTCCCAGAAAGTAGGTCCCTCCTTGATGGGAAATCACTGGTGCAGGGTGACTCTTGCAGCCCCTCTTCATAGGGAACCTAGGGGCTACTTTGCCATCCGGGGTCCTGCAGTCGGGTTTGTACACATGAGGCAAAAAAGCAACATACAGACTCAACACTGCTGCCTGACAGGTGAGAGCCTAGCTCCAGTTTGTTAAACCATCTCTGTTCCATCCACCAGAGTGCAAATATCCCAGACCTAGCGATCTGGTCTCAGCTCTGCTATTTGCCAACCTGATGTGTCCTTGAGCAAGGCCCCTAGGCACTCTGGACTTCACCTGTCCCCTTTAGAATGGGGGAGAGGTTCTTCTATGAACTGAGCACTGAGATTCTTGCAGCTCCAAATGTGTAGGATTCAACCACAATGAAACAGTTTAGTCTGAGGACAGCAAATTGAGCCAGGCCTGCTCGTTTGATCTTTAGGTCCCAGTATGCCTGTAGATAGTCATGAGGAACCTAAGTAGATATTTAACAATTGGTTGATATTTGGGTCTGAATGTCCATGTCACACAGAAAATTTCTATGATAGATCGATGTGATGAATAGTGCATACAGGAGGAATAAGAGAATAGTGATGGAAAAATCCTTGGAATCTTGCAGACAAAGCTTTGAACACAGCCGGGAGCTTGCTGTCCTCCAGTGGTGGTACAGGATAGGAGGCTAGGGCTCTGGGTGATCTGTCAAGGGGCTCAAGTTGTCACAACTCTGCAGGTTCTGGGCCACTGAGAGAGTTGTGTGTAATAGCCTTGTCCCCCACCCTCAGGATGGGCAAAGAGGGCCAAGGAGACCAAGGCCTGAGCTCTGCTCAGAGAAGGGAGCCGAACATGTCCTGGGCTCGTTTCCGTGCTTCCCCTGCCTCTGGTCAGGATGTGTCTTGCAAAGCAGGGGGAACCTTGTGACAGCAAAGACAGCTCCATTTATTGGCCTCCTGTCAATGCCTTATTGCCTGACCCAAGAAGCATTTTTTAATTGAACAATCTGTTCTTGACAAAGCATAATCAGGAGGAGAGGAGGGACTGAGGCCCAGAGAAACTCAGCCACTTACCCAAGAGCACTCAATCTGCACAAGCCAGGACTCAAATCCAGGCCCCTGCCTCTAACTCTTCCTCAGCTGCCTTCTGAAAGAACCCATCATTCTCTCTGCAAATGCCTGCAATGAAGCATGTGGGAATTACCCACTTATTGATTCACTGTAACCTATGAATCACATCCACCTGCACTCCCTTTTTCTCTCCCCCAATCTCTCTCTCTTTTTTTTTAAAGATTTTATTTATTTGAGAGGTAGAGTTACAGACAGTGAGAGGGAGAGACAGGTCTCCCATCTGCTGGTTCACTCCCCAGATGGCTGCAACAGCCAGAGCTGCACTGATCTGAAGCCAGGAGCCAGGAGCTTCTTCCGGGTCTCCCACATGGGTTCAGGGGTTCAAGCACTTGGGCCATCCTCTGCTGCCTTCCCAGGGCACAGCAGAAAGCCAGATCAGAAGAGGAGTAACTGGGTCACGAACCAGCGCCTGTATGGGACTTCAGCACTACAGGCGGAGACCTAGCCCACTATACCACAGTGCCGACCCCTCAATTATTTTTATTATAAAATTTCTTAGCCATTTTAAGTGGACAATTCAGTGCTATTACATATATTAGCAATATCATGCAACCAAGACTGCTACCCATTTCCAGAACTTCTTCATCCCCTGAGAATGTTTGACTTCTCTTTATGTGGTATCTTCTTTTGCATCATCACCGAGATTCCTGTACAATAACCTGTGATGGTGCCCCTCCATTGTCCTGTGTCCCCTCTCTCTTGTCCAGAGGCCAGGAGAGGACAACTTAGAAGTAGTACTTCAGTGGTTAGACGTGTGACTTTCTTGGAGTGAGCATCCTTGAACCAACAAATCCACAGGCTTTCGCATCTGGGGCCAGGATGTGGGTCTGCTCTTCCTTGGCCTGCCGTCTATGTCACGCAGGATTCTGGGGTCCTGTCTGGGACCTGTCACAGTGTGCAGTGTTTCATTTTTGTTTTCAGGAATTTGGCTGACAGATGGGCTGGGAGTCCCTCACCAGGGCCCTGGAAAGAGCTGCTTTATCCCCTCCAGGAGGATCACTTGACATTTATGGCTTCAAATAAGTCATTTCAGAGACCCAGCTGTGGGTCTTATGCTTCTCTTGATCCATTTAAACATCCTTTTTGTATCTCGTTGTTATCCACTGTTTGGTCTTGCCCATGTGGGCTGCATGGTAGACCCTCTTGCACTGGATGCCATGACTTCAACATGTTGGTCATCTCCAAGCCATGTCCACCTACAGGTAGATGGAACGGATTAATGATCCTTGGCTGGACTGTGATAGAACATTCTTTTAAATGAAAAATCTGACATCATGTTTCCAGTTCTGGTAAGGTTTGGTTTCTTTAGGGAAGTGAGAATTGTTGTTGGCATTTTTAAATTTAGACATGACTGTGCTTGAAGATGGAGTTTGCACTTTTGAGATGAAGTGTGCTTCCCAAGGGGATGTGGAGAGAGAACTGGACTTTGGAGGTGGACACAAAATGTCAACTGTCCCCATAGTAAGTGGCCGCAGCAGCCCTGGGACAGCCGCAGTGTTCACTAGCCCTGACCTAGAACTTCATCACTAATGCCTCACCTATGGACTCAGGTGCCCTGGCTCTCACTGAAGCCTGGTAGGAGAGGAGGAATGGGAGAGAAAGGAGGTCTGTTGCCATCCATGCACCAGGCACTGTGCTAAGCCGCTTCTACATCTTGTCTCATTGAAATCTGAGCTCATTAGGCACATGTTTGCTGTGATGTCCGTGTCCCAATTCCCTTTCTACAGAGAAGGGCTTGGTCTCGCAGAGGGCTGGTCACTTGCCTGCACACTGCCCCTGGCAAGTGCCAGAGCAGGGAGGAAGCCCACTCATTAAGCTGTCCTACTCTGGAATGGACAGGAGCTGAGGGCCCTGGGCAGCTTTGCAGGTGGGCACCCAAAGGACCCCATAGAGAAGGGAGTGATGAGGACACTGGAAGGGTGGTTTGCTGCTAGAAGGGATAGAGCTGAGATTCCAAAGTAAAGCTGCTGAGAAGAAAAAATGACATAGGGATAGCCTTGAGCCATGGCTTCTGAGCAGAAAGCAGGGGAAAAAAACACTTAGCTGTACTTGCAGCCCTGCTGGGTTCCCATATGGACTCTTGGCAACACCGTTCATTTTAAATAAAAGTGGAGTTTAATAGAGCAGCGTTAGTGATGTCACAGCTCATAGAAGAAAGAGCCCTGGCTTTGAAGTTACGCAAGCCTGGCCTGGGCGTGAGCCCTGATTCCGCTGGTTACAGTTGTGTGGCCTTAGACACTTCATCACTTAACCTGTTCAGCATCTATAGAATGTGCATAACAGTTCCTAACTCCTCCCCAGTGCTGAAGGTGAAGTGACCTAGGATGGCCATGCCCTAACAGGAGGTATAGCATGGTAGCCCTTGGCAGGGGCAGGGCAGGGGCAGGGTGTGGCTGCTGAGTCGTCAGAGTCTGTCTTGTGAGCATCCCCTTTGCCCTCTGTGTCCGCAGTGCTGCAGGGCGTGGACAATTCGCTGGTGGGCCTGCACAACCAGAGCTTCGCCCGGGTCATGGAGCAGCGCCTGGCCCAGCTGTTCATGATGTCCCAGCAACAAGGCCGGCGGTTTAAACGGGCCACCACCCTGGGAAGCTACACTGTGCAGGTGGGTGTGTGCAAAGCCACTGGGGTTTTGGAATCACTGTCAGGGGTAAATACACATGCACAGAGGGCCATCCATGCTGCATGCTGACTCAGCAGCTGACTCAGCACTGCTCTGAGGTCCTGGGGCTTGAGGGTCATAACTCTCACAATAAGAACCCATCACAAATAAGACAGAGGGTGGGAGTTGGCTCCTCCTCCACGGACACTACCCAGATGAAGATGATACTTCAAAAGCTCATGGGATAATAATATTGCAAGATATGTTTATTTTGGCACAAAAAATTTGAAACCCATGTAAAGTTTTTCATAATGCATGCTATTCATGAACTTTTAGAAGATTCTTCATATGCATGGATTCCAGAAATCTTTGGCAACAAGATAAACATCTTCTAATGCCATTTTCCACAAACTCTTTGACATACCTTCATATAAGGAAAGGAGGTCTCTTAACTATCTGCACGCATGCAAACATTCAGAAAACAAAAAGTTACTAGGAAGCAAATGCAAACTGTCCATCAACCTGTAAGTTCAGCGATGTCCTGGATCTCTGTCCTGTTAGGCTCTCTCCCCATCATTGCTGCACCAGTATTCTAAATGCAGGAACTGGCATCAACAAGCAGAGCTGAGCCTTGTATCAGTCACATGACCAGGAGATGAGGAGGACCCTAGTGCCACATCCCCTGACCATTGCTGTGTCTGTAAGAGCTCCAACACCGTCCTCTAATGTTGATTGGAAGGTCCACTATTGGGATGCCAGAACCTGCTTTTCCCATGCCATGATGGCCAGAAGTGCCTGGGACTTAACCAGTGATGGGGATATAAATACCACCGCTCCCCTGGCTGTTGCCTAGGAGAAGTCTGAAATGTGTGTTATAGGCTCTTCCCAGAGCTTTCCTGCAGAATTAAGCTTTAGTCACCCTCCTGTGGTAGCTGGCTTCATGACACTGCTCTTGCTGGCTTTTCTCATTCCTATATCTCCTCCGTGTACCCCTCAAATAAACCGTAATGACTCAGCTCTTCACAGGGCTCACTGCTGAGGGAGCCCATCAAGGCAGTAACCATCCCCACAGGAAGAGCCTCTAAGCCTCCCTACACCCCTTCCCCACTTCCTGCCAGAGGGGAGTGTCCCTAGCATATTCTAGCCAATCCACAGTTCTTGAATACTACTAACTTCTCCAATGAGAATCTGTCTCCAACATTTGCTATGCCGAGTGACAAAGCTCTGGTGAGCAGGGTGCCAAGTTACAGAGACACTGCTGGTAGCTGCCTCAAAGTCAGGAGGGTGGGCTTCCCTGGTTGGAACCTGACCAGCTTCTGGAGGCGTGTGGACTCCCCACCTGTGCTGGACCACATCTGGCGTGTAACTGAACCGCAGCGTGCTTGCAGGGCATCAGGCTATCCATGCAGAAGTGTTTTACGGGAAATTGCAGACTCGAGCACAATCTGTCTGTAGATCACATCCCTGGGCAATCTTCTGGAAAACATTTGCTCGCATGAGTCTATCACACCCCTGACCCAGACTCCAGGTCTCTCCACTCACAGTGGTGGATTTGGCCCCTGTCCTAATGCAGATTGGCTTGGGATTCAAAGTCTTTGTGGTCTGTGATGACCTTACCACAGGGAAAGTCATGGTGAATTTTGTGCACCAGGTACGTGATTTCCCCTGTGTAGGCTCCATGTAAACTCTAAATCCATGCTTCTCCACATGACAGAAAGGAAGTCAGTGATACTCAGACTGTGAAATGGGATTTGCAGCAGCTGTAGGGGGAGAGAGGAGCACGCTACAGTCCTGGGGTCCTTTGTCTGAGGGACTGACACGTTCTGCACGGCTCAAGGGGGTGTTCTTTCTCTCCTTCCTTGAAGGTGCTCAGTGCACGTGGCCCCTGAAACCTGCAGCTGCCTGGAAACTTCAGTGAAGCAAGTAGGGACTTATTTCTGCAAAACCCTCATTTAATAGGTTGTAGATCACCTTGTAACATCACCCTCAGAGAAATCTTAAGAATTCACTATTTTTTTTTTTTTGACAGGCAGAGTGGACAGTGAGAGAGAGAGACAGAGAGAAAGGTCTTCCTTTGCCGTTGGATCACCCTCCAATGGCCGCCGCTGCAGCCGGCGCACCGCACTGATCCGATGGCAGGAGCCAGGATCCAGGTGCTTTTCCTGGTCTCCCATGGGGTGCAGGGCCCAAGCACCTGGGCCATCCTCCACTGCACTCCCTGGCCATAGCAGAGAGCTGGCCTGGAAGAGGGGCAACCGGGACAGAATCCGGCGCCCCAACCGGGACACGAACCCGGTGTGCCGGCGCCGCAAGGTGGAGGATTAGCCTATTGAGCCACGGCGCCGGCCTAAGAATTCACTATTAAATTTAAATTGAGCCAAGTTAGTAGACATTGGAATGATCACTCACCTATACCTTGTTGTGCTAACACTGTCTCCATTCCTTCCCGCTAGGGAAAGGATTAATATGTCCAAGTCTTTCCTGCCCCTCAACCCACAACCACCAAATTCACTCTACCTAGTTTATATCATCTCTTGCCCAGAGGCCTTTCATCTTAGCTCAGAGAATTTTTAAAAATGATCTACTTTCATGAATATGGAGATTTAGTCTAGAATCTAAAGATATTTCTCTAGTTAATATATTTGAGAAGTCCTAAGCAAAACTACCTATAACCAGTAAGCATTTTAAATGTTTGACTACACTGATTGTCAAAATAACACAAGTTTTAATTACTACAAGATGCTATTTTCCCCACTAAAGTTCAGTAAACTGATACTCTCCAGTGTGAGGAGAATGCAGTGAATCAGACATGTTTAAACAGAGTAACCGGGAATGGCCTTTGTGGAGGGCACATGAGCAATTTAGTTTTTAATTTTAATTTATTTTTAAATTAATTTATTTATTTGAAAGACAGAGTTACAGAGAGAGAGAGGTAGATACAGAGAGAGAGGTCTTCCATCCACTGGTTCACTCCCCAGATGGCCACAATGGTTGGAGCTGTGCCGATCCGAAGCCAGGAGCCAGGAACCTCTTCCAGGTCTCCCTTGTGGGTGCAGGGGCCCAAGGACTTAGGCCATCCTCTACTGCTTTCCCAGGCCATAGCAGAGAGCTGGACCTGGAGAAGAGCAGCCAGGACTATAACCGCGCCCATATGGGTTGCCAGTGCTTCAGGCCAGGGCATTAACCCACTGCGCCACAGTGCCGGCCCCAACATGAGTAATTTAGTTGAGAACCTTTTGGATGGTGCTGTAGTTTGGATATCAGTTTGTGTCGCTCCCCGTCTTCGTGGAGGAACGACACAGGACCCTGCGCTGTTCTTTCGTCTGCTCGGCCCTCCCCGGGTTTGCTGCTGGTTCTTCCCGGGTTGGCTACCGTCCCTTCCACCTCCGTGGAAGGGCGGTTCCCCCTGGCCACTTTCCCCACTTCCGCGGGGGAGCGGCACACCGCCGGCCGGCTCTCTTGGGCGCTGCACAGGTGTTCCTTCAGATAGATGTTCCCCTTAGATGTTCCTGGTGCATGTTGTCTCTCTCCTCCTTTATAGTCCTCTTCCGCCAATCCCAACTCGGCTGCCCACATGCCGAGTACGCTGCTCTCCTCCAATCAGGAGCAGGATCAGCTCCTGGAGGTCATCACTCAAGTTGGCAAGAGGCAGCTGCGTAAAGCTGTTTTCTCCTCTCCCAGCGCCATATTGTGGGAGAGCAGATGCATAGAATAAGTCTTAATTCCAGTAACTTAGTCTAGTCCGAGTTGCTCCAGTTGCTCCCCACAGATCCCCCTTTCTTTTTATTTTTGGCATTGATACGTGCCTGTCTTCGGTGCCCCGCGGCACACACTCTGCTCTGCTTGCCAGAGTTGTCCACAAGTGCTTACAAGCCCTACCAATAAGGCAAACCGAATCCGGGTCCTCTCTTCGCCATGTTGTGAGGAGGTTTTTAAGCGCTTGATGCGTGCCTGTGTTCGGTGCCCTGCAGCGCATGCTCTGCTCTGCTAGAACTGCCTGCAAGTGCTTACAAGCCCTAGCAAACAGGCAAACCGAATCCAAGCCCTCTCATTGCCGTCTTGTAGGGAGACTTATTGATGTTAATTTCGTGCCTGTCTTCGGTGACCTGCGGCGCATAAGCTGCTAGCCGTCCACAGGTGCTTATCGTCTTACTAATCAGGCAGACCGAATCCAAGCTCTCTCATTGCCGTGTTGTGGGGAGGCCTTATTTTTCTCTATTTCTCTATCTCCGGGCATTCCTATTTCTCCTATTTACTTCTATCTGCCAGCATTCCTATTTCTCCTCATTTTACTTCTAAACTTCTGTTTCTCTTATCTTCGCGGCTTCCCGGCGCCCGCCCGAGGCTGCTTCTCGGCGCCTCGCCGCCCCGCGGCGGCTTCCCGGCTTAGCGCCGCTTCAGCCCGCACTTCTCTCATCTGCGCGGCTTCCCGGCGCCCGCCCTGCGGCGGGCTCCCGGCTCTGCGCGGCTCGGCTTTGCGCACTCCGTGTCTCCACTGCCCTTCGCGCCCGCACCACGGCCTTTGCGCCAGCCCCGCGTTCCCTATCTATTCACGCCCCGTGCTCTCTCTGCACGCGGCGGCTTTCCGCGAATCACACAGCGTAGCTCACGTTTCCGCCACTGGCATTCAGTCCAAGTTCCCCGGACTAACCTGGCGAATTCCAACCTGGCAGCCCACGTCTCTGCCTCTGGTTCCAGATTTTCGCCTTTTGCTCCCCGGGCTGACTTGAAGAATTCCAAGCTGGCTTACGTCTCCGCCTCGGCCTGCCCCCGTGGCTTCAATTTCCCTAACATTTTTCTCTACCCGGTATGTTTCCCTAACTTTTCTTCCAACAACAATATTCCCCTCTCATTTCTCCCGGTTTCTCCCCACAGTCCGCATCCGAGTCCAAGCCTCCTCCAGGTTTCACTTTCAGCTTTCAATCTCCTAGCTTCCCCGCCATAGTCCGCATCCGAGTCTATGAAAGCTTTCACTTTCACTTTCAATCCTAACTTCTTTCCCACAGTCCATATCCGAGTCTATGCCGGCTTTCAATAGCTTCTTCCGGCACCTTTTCCGTCCGGCTTTTCCCTAGGCTCTTGCTAGTCTCTCTCTCCAGTATTTTCCCACTTCTTCCCGTTTCTTCCCTCCTAGGTTCCTTATCGAGTCACGGCACCATTATTCGCTCCCCCTCTTCGTGGAGGAACGACACTAAGCCCCTGCCTAGGCTTCATATCCGAGTCACGGCACCATTATGTCGCTCCCCCTCTTCATGGAGGAGCAACACAGGACCCTGCGCGGTTCTTTCGTCTGCTCGGCCCTCCCCGGGTTTGCTGCTGGTTCTTCCCGGTTGGCTTACCATCCCTTCCACCTCCGTGGAAGGGCGGTTCCCCCTGGCCACTTTCCCCACTTTCCGCGGGGGGAGCGGCACACCGCCGGCGGCTCTCTTGGGGGCTGCACAGGTGTTCCTTCAGATAGATGTTTCCCTTAGATGTTCCTGGGCATGTTGTCTCTCTCCTCCTTTATAGTCCTCTTCCGCCAACCCCAACTCGGCTGCCCACACGCCGAGTACGCTGCTCTCCTCCAATCAGGAGCAGGATCAGCTCCTGGAGGTCATCACTCAAGTTGGCAAGAGGCAGCTGCGTAAAAGCTGTTTTCTCCTCTCCCAGCGCCATGTTGTGGGAGAGCAGATGCATAGAATAAGTCTTAATTCCAGTAACTTAGTCTAGTCCGAGTTGCTCCAGTTGCTCCCCACAAGTTTGGGTATCCCCAGACTGCCCATGTGTTAAAGGCTTGTTCCCAAATCTTTATATACACTCGTGGTACTAAGAGGGTAGAAACTTTGTGGTAGGTAGAGGTTGGGACCTTTGGGAGGTGTTAGGTTGAACTCGATCATTGGGATGGAGTTCCCATGACATAATCCTGGTGACTTTGAGAAGGAGAGACAGAGACAGACACAGGTGCTCCCTCCTGCCCTGTGATGTTTGGGCCACCTGAGAACTCAGCTAGACAGCACCATCACCAGTAGCTGAACCAGTGGGGCTGTCTGTGAACAGAGGATGGGGAATCTGAAACCAACCTCCTTCCTTCACAAATGGCTTGTCTTAGGCATTTCATTGTAGTGATGAAAAGTAGGCTAACATAGATGGTCACATCTGACTCCTAGAACCTTATTTAGAGAAGATAGAGGTGAACACAAAGACAAATGGATGAGGGCAGTGATTTCCAGAGAGTGTATAGGAACTAACCCTATCAGGTGCCCTAAGGCAGAGTCTCTCTGGCCAAACAAGTCTGGGCAAGGCTGCATACTATAACCCCTTCTTGAAGATATCCAAAGCATATTTGCCTCCTACAACTCTAAATACCTGACATAAAGAAATACCTTTGATTTTGTTCAACATACTGGCTTCCAAATGTAATTATCAATGACACTCTTGTTTCTAATAATATCTACATTATAACATTTTATTTTGAACATTTTCAAGCTCAAACCATTGAAAAAGTATGCAGCGAATACCCACGTATTCACTATACAGGTTCTGCAATTAGCATAGGTTATTATGTATTTGATAATGTTATCATTTCCATACACTTTCCATAACATGCATTTCCTATACTTCCAAATCAAAAGTTGGTTTTCAATTTCTAACACTTCATGTATATAGAGACCCTTATGTTGGTTCTTGGGCTGGTAAGTGTTTGTTCTATAAGACACTGATACATTCCACAGTCCCACCATCCAGGGGAATTCCAGTTGCTCCATATTCTATAACATTTGGTGTTGCCAGTCCTGCTTGTTTTAGTCATTCTGGTCAGTGTATATATCGTCCTGTAGTTTGAATTTCCCCATGTGCTTTGTTGGTTATTCAGCTATCTTCCTTTGTGAAATTTTTTGATCAGATATTTTGCACATTTTAATTGGATTATAGTAATAGCTATTTTTAAATTATTAGTATAGCTACAATCAAAAGAATGTAAAACGTGTAGGTCTTAAAGAAACTAAACACTCACAAGCTGAAAGGTAAGAGTGTCACTATTCCTTCCTGCTCACCCCTGCGGCCTATTATTGGTTTCTCTGATGGTTCTCCCTTCCTTCTCAGAATTGAGCAAGATCCTGAATTTTGTATTAACTCATTTCCGTATTTCTTGTCTAGAGTTTTTACTATCCATATGGTATCCCTAAACTGTATGTCATGTAGTTTTGTCTGATTTGGAATTTTGCTCTGTGATTTGTGTCTTTTACTTAATATCAGCTTATATTCTTAGCCATATTGGTATGAATATAGCCTAGTTCATTCACTTGCACTTCTCTGTAGTTTTCATTGGGTAACTGTACCATACCTCATTTACCTCACCTCCTATTAATATATTTTGAATTTCAGGGTCTTTTTTTTTTACTATTTTGAACAATGTTGCTATAAACATTTTGTATTATCTTTAATATCCTATGAAACTCATACCTTTAATATATACTTTGGAAAATTATTACATTGTAAGGTTTATTGATTGTTAATTGTAATAGAAAAAGGTTGGCAGCCTAAGTGTTCAATAATAAAGTGTTAGAAAATTTACCAGGCATTCATACAACAGAATACTATGTCAGTAATGACATTTTTTTTTTTTTATTATTATTTTTTGACAGGCAGAGTGGACAGTGGAGAGAGAGACAGAGAAGGTCTTCCTTTGCCGTTGGTTCACCCTCCAATGGCCGCCACGGCCAGCGCGCTGCGGCCAGCGCACCGCACTGATCCAATAGCAGGAGCCAGTACCTCTCCTGGTCTCCCATGGGGTGCAGGGCCCAAGCACCTGGGCCATCCTCCACTGCACTCCCGGCCACAGCAGAGAGCTGGCCTGGAAGAGGGGCAACCGGGACAGAATCCGGCCCCCCACCGGGACTAGAACCCGGTGTGCCTGCGCCACAAGGCGGAGGATTAGCCTAGTGAGCTGCGGCCCGGCCAGTATTGAATTTTTGATTATCAACTTTTTTTTTTTTTTTTGACAGGCAGAGTTAGACAGGGAGAGAGAGAGAGAGACGAGAGAAAGGTCTTCCTTTTCCGTTGGTTCACCCCCAAAGTGCCACTATGGCCAGCACGTTGCTGGCGGCGCTGTGCCGATCTGAAGCCAGGAGCCAGGTGCTTCCTCCTGGTCTCCCATGCGGGTGTAGGACCCAAACCTGGGCCATCCTCCACTGCACTCCCGGACCACAGCAGGAGCTGGACTGGAAGAGGAGCAACCGAGACTAGAACCCAGCGCCCCAACCGGGACTAGAACCTGGGGTGCTGGCACCGCAGGTGGGATTAGCCTAGTGAGCCAGATTATCATTGTTAATTGCACTAGTGAAGAACTAGTGACAAGCTAAATGATTAACAATAAAGGATTTGCTAAATAAGTCTATGAGGTAGGCATTGGAATCGCAGAGAAATAAGCATTTATCCTTTTTATATTTAAGTAAAAAAGAGCAAGTTATGATATACAGAATATGATAAATAACTTTGTACAATAGGAAGGGAAGTTTCATGGAAAAAAACAATATAAGCAAATAGTCCAAAATGGTGGCCAGGAATTAGTTGTGGTAGGATTATAGGAAGCTTTTGTTTTATTTCGTTTCTTGATGCTGTCTGTATCTTCGGGTGTCCTGTAATAAATATAGAAAACTTGCAGGGTAAAAAAAAAATCAAAAATGTTCTTTTAGAGAAAGAACTTAAGAGTTTCGCAGTCCTGCTTTTCAGAGGTCTGCTGAATTCTAGACACGCAAGTTACTTTTCTCCCCTTTGTGCAATTGCAGGGATTTGAAATTAAAAATCGTGCCTGAGAGCAACCTTACATGCCCTGAATTCGTGGGGAGGCCTACTTTCAAACGAGGCCGGAGTTCTGGGGCGCGCCACTGTCCCATATCTTCTTTCCTAACCTCAACTTGTTCTTGCTCCGAGGCTCATATTTTTTCAACCTTTTGTTTCTCCTCGCAGTCCCCTGCTCCAGCCACAGGCAGGCGCCCGAGAGCTGATCCAGGGAGGTACTCAATGGCTGAGGTCTGGTAGAGACGTTGTGGGTCTGCTTATCCACCGCGCTCTTCATCCGCGGGGAGAGGAGAGCCTGCCGGTTGCCTGCAGCTTGCGGCTCGGAGCAAGATGCCCTGTAAACATGGGGCCTGTCTTCTCTAAAAGATGGTCAAGATGCAGCGTGTGCCAGGACCGAAGACCCCCGCGGAGCTGACCTACTACACACTGTACAACGGGAAGCCTCTGCTGGGGACTGCAGCAGCCAAGATCCTCAGCACCATTGACTCCCAAAGGATGGCCTTGACCCTGCATCACGCGTCCTCCTCCTGCAATCGACCGTAAGGGATAGTCCTTTCCTTCCATGTTTTTTCGTGCCATTAAGTGTTCCTTGCCAAAGTGATCCCCCAAATCGAGCTGAGCACCTCTGTGTGGAATCCATCGGCTGCTGTCTGTGTTGTGTGACGCACTAGTTTTGTTTGGGAAACTGGAATGAGGTAG